TTTATAACATAACCAAAGTAAAGCGCGCGCTCTGATTGGTCAATTTAGCGTCCCCCATTTGCCCATGGGTGTACGCTGCTGACGTGAGCAAATGCAAAGACTATTTTTCCGCGCGCGCTTGTTTTTTCTGGTCGCGTAAGATTTGTTAAATAAAAGGGAACTCTTTAGCTACAATGTATCAATGTTATGTTATAAAACAAATGGTAAACACCACAGCGTACACTATTGAGTTATGGATGCACTTGGGAGGTTTGCTAAGCACTCAAGAAGCTAGAGTCGCTCTCGGCTATCGCCTCGAGCGACTCTTACGCTTCTTTCGTGCTTAGCAACCTCCCGCATGCATCCATAACTCAATAGTGTACGCTGTGGTGTTTACCATTTGTTAAATAGCAGTTGTTATTTGCACATCGTCACTGCGAAATGAACATACATATATATAAAAGACAAAACCATTAATCCTTTCTCTGACAACAGAGCGTGCAAATTTCTGGGGCCAAACTTTGTTTAGATATCTAACTTTATATCGACATCTCTTCAACGACAGTTAGACCTAACCTCTAAATTTAATTTGCTGGATATAAGTGCTGCAAGTAAGAGTTTATATTTTAGACGCATTTACAGCACACAACGAAGGTTTATGAATGCTTTACCTGATAGCGAGTCAGTAGAACTTATATTTTGAAGCTCCTGTTCCATCGACGTTTTATTTGTCGCATTCTATCTGATGAAAAGTTTATCAAAGTCTACCTCCAGCATTATATCATCCAAGTAAACGAATTTAGGGTAACCTTCTGGGCAGACGAAGAGCTGCTTTCTATTTCGTTTACCGGTTCCAATGCCAGTCTTCTCATCCTAAATAAGAAAAAGGTGAAAATAGTCACAATAGTCGTTTCCTCGTTTCTTTTCGCTTCTTTCCACAATTTCTAATTGTGCTACTAGGTGATGGTCAGTGAGTAAAATTGCTTCCCCGTTATCTGCAACCTTCAGTGTCAGTGAATGTAAAGCAAGGGCGTTGGGGGGGGAGAGAGGGGTACCTCTGACCTTCCCCCCCTTTGTAAGCCTTTTTTAACTTTACGTAAAACACGGCGTGGAGGTCGACATGACAATCTGGTGAGTACCCTCTGTTTGACGCACTGCGACCCCCTTCTTTGAAACATCCTGGTTACGACCCTGTAAAGTGACACTTTTAAATTAAAAGAGATGAACGCTGCGGTTCATTCAAGTGATTAAGTTTTCTGACGAACTTATCGAACTTCAAAATACAATTTTTCACGCTTTCGTAACACATCACGGTAATTTTGATCTAAAAAGCCTTACCAGTTCTAAACCAACGAATGTCTGCATCTTTCCTCCTGAATCTCTCTCTTGACCAATGTAACGTACGGTTCCTCTTACAGTGGGATCCCTGAGAGACCCCACTCGTTGGCCAATTTTAACAATACCATCCGTTCCTTCCCATCGCAGCCGCGCCTTTTGCCTAGAACAAAGTCTTGATTTAACATCAGCTTGATCTCTTTCGACTTGTTTCGAAGATGTTTGGTCCAAATCTACAGGAATCAATTTGTCTAGGGTGACAAAAACACCTGAGTTTGGTGCACTCTCAAAGTACCTCTTGCCTTCGTATGTTCCATCACATGTCCCAAGGCCTTTATTTTTCTGAAAAATATGAACGTGCTGTTACCGTTCAGCTATTTCTTGTCGTCTGTGGTGTTATTCTATATCTAACATCGACTGACAGCAACTTTTTAGCAGTTCCTTAACCAAAATTGTAACGTCAATTCGCCATGAGGCCTCCCTTCCGTCACTTTTTGAGTATCTTATCTAAAAATGTTGAGTTGCTGAGCATTTGCTATGCCTCAACGATCTTTCATGTAATGTAAACGTTGATCTAAATGGAATATTTTTTCATTTTGCGATATTCAATTCCTTCATAGTCATCACCGTACGCTACCAAATAACTGAGAGCTTCCTTTCGGAACATGCTACAAAGTAGCGAACAAATGTTGATTCTTATGCATTGACGAGGAACTGATAGATAATGTAACGTTGTTTTTTTTAGTGAAATATCTACTACAGCTGAGTATATAATTACCCCGTGTTTCTTGGAATCTCACGAGGGAGAGCTTTGAGGAGTTTTTTCCTAAGGGTGGCCGGCTAACTATCACGGAACCTTCCCGAGTTGAGCTTAAATAGCAAGTGGAGAAATCTTAAGGAGCCATGAGGACCAACTCCCAGATTCCAACTCATATTGAGCAAAACTACTGGTAAGCATGTTTGCGTTGCCAAGTAAACTGAGCTTATTACAATCGGACACGATTTTAAAAACACTTCCTGCCGAAGACGCGCTGTGAGAATAAAGACCAGTTTGATCTGATTTCTGGGATTAATTTAGAAACAGCTGTAATAGCCTTTAAAACTTTAAAAAATGCTAATTGTAAGGAAAGTGAGGTGAGTCATATATTTTACTGGTTAAATAAACACTTTGCAAATGGCGATTAGAACTGTAAGGGTAAACGTTAAGGCATCTGAGTGCACTTTTACGAACTGGTAACGCATATCACCGGTCAATGAGTCGAGTCACGAATTTTCTGAGAAAGGAAGGTGACAAACTAGTTTCTGAAGTGATGGTCTCCGCAGGAATTGCAGAACATAGACAACGATATTTTGCCTTCGTCATCTGTTTCCAAAGATTTTCCATGAAAACACTCGAATACATCCCTCATTTGGCAGTGTTTACTGGCCTTTATAAAATATTAAGATAGGAGTACGTTCAACTTATCATAAGTCGTAAAACAAATAGCATAGTAGTAACTTACTATCAATTCAACTCCAAACCAAGTTCCAGGGAGAGTCATCAATTCACCCTTGTAACGTACGATGCCAAGAAGCTCACTTGAAGGTATTTCTTTTATTGAAACAAACACTGTGCTTCCGCGGGAAATTCGTTCCCATACATTTTGAAGTTTATTTATAAACGTTTCATATCTCAACTCCAAGGGAGGAATCGCTCGAAGGAGGTTAGCATCATCGTTTGAAAGCTCAAATACATCATTCGTGCGACACTCCAGACGCATTTCATTCCTTGCTATTCCAGTTAGGGCAATTCTCTCGGGACTTGTCGGTTGCTGAGTTCGTGCATCAACCCTTAGAAGCTCACCTCGTAGAACTTTCTTTGGACGAAACGATGTCTGATCGATTGGATGCTGAAGGTATTCAAGTGTGTTTCCATCGCAATTATTAAGGAGGATATAAGTAAAATTGCGTCTTTCCATGCTGTAACTGGATAAACACACGCACTACACCTTCCTCTCGTTGGAACATTTATTTGTCAACATTACAGATGTACTCCTTTTACTGCCTCGCTGTTCATGTGCTATTCCTGGAAACAAGGGAATGTGAGTTTCCATTGTCTCATCTTATCTGGGGTCAAAACTAGAGATAAGCTGTGTTTTGCTCTGTAAATAATTGACGTTCACAAATATAGTTCAAGTTTACTAACTTTTAGTCTATCTTTCGACAGTTGATTTCCTTACAGCAGCAAGCAACTAATTTATTTAAGAACTGAACCTATTTAGGAAAATGCACCCAAGTAAGATCAGCAGGAATTAACTATCAAATAATATATTTAAAAAAAACACCTCGCTGGTGGGCAAATTTACATCTTGCACATCCAGAAACCGATCGAGTTCATGGAAGTTTCCTTTGTTCTAGATGTACCAGTGCGAAATTTGCTCATGCAGCAAAGTTTTTTTTTTCCGTTCTGTGATCGCCAACGGCGAGGACTTTACTTAACCGTAACATCTTAAAATAACATCGCATAAAAATTTTTGCTTCAGACATACTTGTGCTTGGGTAAACATTTCTTTTCCAGAAACAGCGTGCGTACGTATACATTGTTCGATATCGAGGAAACAATTATGACGGTAGTGCCAATCGAACGGATTTTAAACTAGGATGGCGCTTGCCAGACTACAGATACTACTGTAGCAACAGCTGATTGATTTCTTAGACTACCAGACCACGTCTAAAATCTTCGGGACCAAGAAACTAGCTGATCACTTCCCACAGAGCCAAGTTGGTGACGAGAACTAAATTGATGACCCAACGCGTAAATCACTTTTTAACTAGGAAAACACTCTAGACACAGTAGAGCAAAAGCATTGTTAAAACCCCTGAAATCGTCCAAGAACCTACACACAAAGGCGACTTTCACTGTCATGAGAGATGAGATTATTAAAAAAATCCACTCAATCGAAACGGCGGTTTTCAGCTGGCCATCCTTTATAAACAGCTGATTCGGCTGGTAGTAGTTTTTACAATTTCATTTATCTATAGGATGGAATCACTCAAGTAGCTCATAAGACAGCCTCTCTTTCATTTATCCTTGGCCATTACATCTTTAGTAGAACCAACGGTGCTACAATATATTTTGAGAGTACCCTAACCGTACACAATCTTTTTTTTTTTGTGGGTGTTTACACAATGTGACCAAATAAACTGATGCAAGTTTCCATTTGTCAGTCTGTCCAAAATAATTGGAATGCTATTTAACATTTATTAACGTATATTAACAAAGAAATCTGTCTGGTTTCCCCACGAGTCACCTCTGGTAACTTCATATCTCAAGTGGGGCGCCAAAACTTCAGAATGCTCTTCTCTTGAAGGTTGAAGCTGTTGGATTCAATGGCGATCTAAAGCATTTTCTTTTCTAACCTCTTAGAAATCAGAAAATTATCATTTTCTGACGATTTTTATACTAGTTTGTTTTCATTTAGGTATTCAAAGTGGTCATTGTGTTTTTTTAATTAAGGGCTTTTGGCTTGGGTTGTCGGTATGGACTTGAATTACTTCTTTTGTTGTCTCAATGACCCCATCGTGTCTATGCCATTTCCGTTTTTTCCGCAAGTATTCAGTGTGCTTTTTGGATTTATCCTTTTTTCCTCTCGATTTGGAAAAGCACTCTAGACGCTACGAGAGACGCTGGTTTTGTCATTCACTTTCCTACTTTTCAGGTCTTTGGAGCAATACTCTCGGTGGCTTTTGGGAGTTGAGCTATTCTTAGCTCCAGTGTCCCCTCATGCAACTCTTAGAGTTTAGTAGAACGACATCTCTGGTCAGGTTCTGAATAATTACTGTTAATCCTCCTATTCTTTCAGGACGTTTATTCTCGTACACACACATTGTTCAAGAAAAGGCTACGCACATCAGTGGGATTTTCAGTATCACCTATAATATCAGAGAGTTAGTCCACTTCCTGATTTTTCACAACCCCAACGACTAACACCTCAGCAATCCATTCAAGCTGTTAATTCTCACTTTTATAGTTGAACAGGCAAA